AGATTGCTGACATGATCGTTGAAGATAATATAGTTCTTCACCGATTGCTACGTTAGAAAATATTTCCACAGGGTATAGCCAGGTCCATGAGTTGTAGAAGGAGCTGCAGGCAGGCCTACTTTTTATCTCACCCGGCTCCCGCATGGCTAGCTTTATACCCGAAATAACAACACACAAATTGTATTCATTTAAACACTGCCTGGCCCATTAGTTTCAGCCTCTTATTGCCTAATTCTCAATCTTGCTTTAACTCATATTTAGTAATCTGTGTAGCACCACAAGGTGGTGGCTTACCGGGGAAAGTTTCAGCATGTCTGACCTGGCGGCTGGCTCCATGGCATCTGCCCTTGAGAGGAGAGGCATGGAGTCTGCCTAACTTCCCTTCTTCCCAGCATTCTGTTCTGTTTACTCCACCCATCTATGGGCTGGCCTATCAAATGGCCAAGGCAGTTTCTTTATTAACCAATGAAATCAACACAAAACAGAAGACCCTCCCATATCAGTGAGCTAGACAGGGTATGCTGGAGCTAATGCCACTAAAAACCTGACCTTCTCAACCTGCTATCTGCCTTTCTGATCTCGTCAATAGAAGAATGACCCCTGCTGAGAATGCCTGTGACCAAGGAAGTGCAGTCTGTTCCTCTGAGCCAAGCTGAGCTCCATGCATGCAAGCAATTGACTCTGTAGAAAATGGTCTGAGCCAGGAGGTGGTAGTGCATGCCTTTAATCCCAGCACTTGGCCGATCTCTGAGTTCAAGGCCAACCTAGAAGGCAGCTTGAGTTCCAGGACAGACAGAGCTCCTCAGAGATACCTTGTCTCAAAAAGAAAAGGAAAGGGCTGGAGAGATGGCTTAGTGGTTAAGAGCATTGCCTGCTCTTCCAGAGGTCCTGAGTTCAATTCCCAGCAGCCACATGATGGCTCACAACCATCTGTAATGAGGTCTGGTGCCCTCCTCTGGCCTGCAGGCATACACGCAGACAGAATATTATATACATAATAAATAAATAAATAAATATTTTTTTTAAAAAAAAGAAAGGGAGATGGCCTGGCTTTACGGTGCCTGCTCCATTGAAGGAACACTCACTAGAGAGCTGTATGACAGGGCCTTTAAACAGTTTCTATTTGGATAGGTGTGAACACACACTTTTAATAATACTAGCACTTGGAGGGGAGATGCGGGCAGATCTCTATAAATTCCAGGCCAGCCAGAGCAAAGTACAGTCCTTGTCTAGCTGGGCGGTGGCTGCACCCATCTTTAATCCCAGCACTTGGGAAGCAGAGGCAGGCGGATCTCTTTAAACTCAAGGCCAGCATGGTCCACAGAGTGCGCTCCAGGACAGCCAAGACTGTTACAGGGAGAAACACTGTCTCAAACAAACAAACAAACAGAATTCTTATATGAAAATAAAATTAAATTTAGAACTAGAGGTGGCACATACTACAGTTGCAGGGACCCTGAGTTCAATTTCCAGCACCCATATTAGGTAGCTTTCAGCAGCTTGTAACCCCATTCCAAGAGAGCCGATGTCTCTTTTGCACACACATTTGCACACGTTTTAAATTTTAAGACATTTAAATTTTTATTGTTTGTATGTGTGTGATGTGTGTATGGGCATGTGAACATTTGGAAGTCAGAGGTCATGTAAAGTCAGTTCCCGCCTTCCAGGTTTGTGTGGTTTACAAGGATCAAGACCTAGTCAGGCATTTCTCTGTGTGGCTCTGGCTGTCTGGAACTCACTCTGTAAAACAGGCTGGCTTTGAACTCACAATGATCTGCTACCTCTACCTCCCAAGTGCTGGGATTAAAGGCATGTGCCACCACCACCCAGCTATTTCTGATTATTTCTTGTAATTGAATAAATAATAAGGTCAATTCTGGATCAGGACTAAGTTCAGCAGTTTCAATACATAAAACAACTCTGCATATTGACAGTCAGTAACTATATTAAGAAGTTTTGAAATTTTTCATAATACCCTGAGATTAGCATATAATTTTGAACAGGATCATAAAAGCTTTGAGCCACTTAAATTTCTTTTTTTTAATATTTATTTATTTATTATATATACAATATTCTGTGTGTGTGTGTCCGCAGGCCAGAAGAGGGCACTAAATCTCATTACAGATGGTTGTGAGCCACCATGTGGTTGCTCGGAATTGAACTCATGACCTTTGGAAGAGCAGGCAATGCTCTTAACCACTGAGCCATCTCTCCAGCCCCCTAAATTTCTTGATTTATAACCTAACTCTCCTGATTTGTTTGCATCAGTGTAGAATGTTGGGGCTTCAGATATTGGTGCTCCCTGTACAATGTGAGGAAGAACCCAATTGACTCTTTTTATAAATTGAAATTTTTTGCTTTGCGGATATTTGTTGTTATTCTCTCTCAAGAAATCACTGCAAGCTCATTGCCAATGTTCATTTTTTTTTTTTTTTGCCCACAAAGAGGAAATTTTTTAAAGGAAATTTCAGCATTAGTAAAAAGTACTGGGACTTCTGTTGGGTCCATCCCTGTTAATTGACGAAGCCTCAATTTTTCTTTTTTAGAATCAATTCAGAAACCTTTTCTTCATAGATATTTAATTTTTGTTCTGTTTTTGTGCCAAAAATATCCATTCTGGAATATTATCTTCTCTTTGCACGAGTATCTCGGCAGGAGAATGGGTACAAGGCAGAACAACTAGGACACAGTCCAGTTCCGGATCCAAATGATCCACATGTGCGCCTTGTAAGGTTTCAAATAGGCTGTTTAGTTCTTCCGTTGTTAATCCACTTGTGGTCTGTAGTCAGTTACTGTCTCCAAGTAATTTTTTGAAAGTCATTCCTGCCGGGTGATGGCGGCGCACGCCTTTAATCCCAGCACTTGGGAGGCAGAGCCAGGTGGATCTCTGTAAATTCGAGGTCAGCCTGGTCTACAAGAGCTAGTTCCAGGACAGGCTCCAAAGCTACAGAGAAACCCTGTCTCGAAAAATCAAAAATAAATAAATAAATAAAAAGAAAGTCAATCCTGACTCTTCAGTCTTATGTCTAGCATTCCAAGCCCCTGTATGGCATAGGGCCAAGGTGTGATGATCAAATCTAATCTGTCTTTCCACATCAACATAACGGTCCTCACCAAGGATTTGATCTTCGGAAATCTTATAACCTTAACACTACCTCACTGTTCGGTGACCCCTGCCTTCTTCTCTCCACCAGGGTCTCTACTTCAACTGAGGACCAGATTCCAATGCTGCCGTAACTAAATCTTTCCAGCCTTGCAGAATAATTCTGTTCTGAGTGGCCCATGAATCTGACAACTGCTTCACAAAAGGTGGATGCATATCATATAAAACTATTGATTCCTTGGGCTGGAGAGATGGCTCAGATGTTAAAAGCACTGACTGCTCTCCCACAGGACTCAGGCTCAATTCCTAGCACCCACATGGCTGCTCATAACTGTCTGTAACTCCATTTCCAGGGGACCTGACACCCACGGCAAAACATCAATGTACATAAAATAAAAATAAATTTTAAAAAATCCAAGTGTTGACTTGGAAAAAAAATTTAAAAAACCAAACTATTGATTCCTTAAATCTCTTTAAATCTAACACTTCTTTGGAGCCTGTCCTGGAACTAGCTCTTGTAGACCAGGCTGGCTTCGAACTCACAGAGATCCGCCTGCCTCTGCCTCCCGAGTGCTGGGATTAAAGGCGTGCGCCACCACTGTAGTACTCTTTTCCAAAGCCTGTATTTCATCAGTCAATTTCTCCTATTTGGCACAGTTATCAAACCACTCTTTTAATGATAAAATGTGAATTACCAGACTGATAATATTCATAACTGACATTATAACAATCCCATCAAAATTGTTTATCTCATGATTTATTTTTTCCTATTCTGCATCCCATCCATAACAGCAGTGAACAGGGTCCTAATTCCCTGCATTGTGATATTGCCAATCTTTAACATGGGAAAGGTTTGAAGATTGTCCTTCCCCCTTATTCTTTTACCTTTTTTAAAGTTTACTTGTTTATTTATTTAATAGTCTAGTTTACCGTTCAAAAGTTCCCTAGTATCTTACCAGTTGGGATGCTACTCCTCAGAGGGCTGTGGACTTCCCTGGACGCATGAGTAGCATAAAGGTGTTTAGATGTAGTGACGATGTTTGAACACCAGGTGGAGCAGGTGCGGCGCGAAGATAGCTCAGGCTCAGTAAGCCGAAAGAATGCTCAGAGATGCTGGGCCAGACTCTACCCAGTTCTTGTGCAGAACCCCTGGGTGTGGGCATGAGGAGACACGCCAAGGGATGGATGCTCAAGGACCAGAACTTGCCCCAGCGCCTGTGGGAGCCGGGCAGAGTCAATTCGGGAGGACACCCAGTGGCTACAAGCGGCTAGACCATAGAGCAGGCAAGCGAAGAGAGCACCGGGGCCTCAGGGCAGGCTCCGGGCTAAGCGGCAAGTGCTGGGGGTGGGGTGGGCTGGTGGTAGTGGTGGATGCAGGGATGCTGGGAAAGCACACACAGGGAGCTCCGGGAAAGTGAGGAAGTACATGCGCGCCAGGAGCGCTGGAGCCATGGGATGCCCCACTTTGGGAACCAGATAATAAGAATTTCTTTATGGTCTATTAAAATGCAAAACGTTGTGCACAAATATTAAAAAACAAAAGAGGAACCTAAGCAAAATCACAAGCTGCTGTTTACACCCATTGTTACTTGCTTCCTCGGAACGTGGGCCTCTTTCTCAGTCAGACCCATCCCAATGAAAACCCAGTCTCTGGGACCAAATCGTTCCTCTCAATTGGCCAGCCGACCAGTGACAGAATCCCCCCTCCCCCAAAGATACCCACAGTGCCACACTTCCCTCTGATCTGGAATCCCTTGGTAAGAAATCAGGAAGCTGTCAGGCGGTGGTAGTGGTGGTGCACACCTTTAATCCCAGCACACAGGAGGCAGAAGCAGGCGGATCTCTGTGAGTTTGAGACCAGCCTGGTCTACAGAGATAGTTCCAGGACATCTAGGTTTGTTACACAGAGAAATCCCGTCTCGGAGGAAAAAAAGACAAAAACACAACTCCCTATTTCAGTGAAGAATTAAACTTTTAATTTTCTTTCTAGAAACTTACAAATTCCAAATGATAGATATTTTTATATTAAAAAGATTCTTCTTGGCTGGGCGATGGTGGCGCACGCCTTTAATCCCAGCACTCGGGAGGCAGAGGCAGGCGGATCTCTGTGAGTTCGAGACCAGCCTGGTCTACAGAGATAGTTCCAGGACAGGCTCCAAAGCCACAGAGAAACCCTGACTCGAAAAACAAAAACAAAAACAAACAAAAAGATTTTTCTTTTAAAAGATAACGCAGTTTTCTCTGACAAAATCATAGGAACTCTTCAGACCCCATGAGCATTAGGCTAGGCTCACGACCTGGTCCCACCCACCCTGGGTGTGTGCTTTGGAGAGGAAAAGTATAACAGCTTGGTCACCAGAGTAAGGTTTAGATGGCTAGGATTTCCAAATTCACATTCAACATTTCTGCTGTGACTACAGGCCTCTGTGAGGAAGGAGGCAGTATTCCATGAAGAATACTGCCTTCTGGATACAATTTTAAAAATAAGCTGAATGGTGGTGGTGCATGCCTTTAATCCCAGCACTTGGGAGGCAAAAGCAGGCAGATCTCTGTGGGTTCGAGGCCAGTCTAGTCTATAGAGTGAGTTCCAGGACAAGTTCCAAAGCTACAGAGAAATGCTGTCTCGAAAAACCACAAAAAAAAAAAGAAAAAGAAAAAGAAAAAAACACAATGTTTGTGTGTCAAAACATGCATCCTGGGGCAGAGGATGTAGTTCAGTTGATACAGTGTTGGTTTAGCAAACATGATACCTTGGGTGTGATCTTCAGCACTGCAAAAAGCAGGCATGGTGGCTCTTTTCTAATTTTAACAGTTGGGAGGTAGAGACAGGAGAATCAGAAGTGCAAAATCATCTTCATCTTTAGCTACATAGTGTGTTTGAAGATAGCCTGAGTTACAAGGGATCCTATCCTAAAAAGAAAAGAAAGAAAAGCAATTGTATCCCATTATGCACTCCTGTAACCTCCACACTCCAGAGACTACAGCGCCAAAATTGCAAGGCTGGAACCCTCCAAAAGGGAACAGATTAACCCTCTCTGAGAAAAACCCAGTGCAAGGAGCCCACTTCCTTCACAGCCTTGGAGACCATCTCTGCCCACCAGACAGATCCCCTCTGTGCAACAGAGGCAGGGTCCCAAGAAAACCTGCTGCACTTGACCCGGTAAACTGGGGGCATCCAAGGACATGCGGAACCCAAGAAGTGGGGATAGCTCGTTACCTAGAGCTTAGCAGAGGAAGATCCAAACTCTGCCAGTCGCTTGATGTCATTTGGGAATGTCATCCAGCTACCACCATCAACCACCAACAAAATCCCTGAGACATAGGAAGCCAGAGGGCTGGCCAGGTACAGCACGCTGTGGGCGATCTCCGTCTTGTTTCCAAGTCTTTGCAGAGGGCTTAAAAGACCCTTTAATTTCAAACTGTCCTGGGGGCCCCCTGGAAGGCAATATGAAGTGGGGACCCAGTCAGTCCCTAGAGCACAGAGTTCGCTGCTCCCCCAGTCAGCACTCTGCCCCACCCACATCTGGAAAAGGGAGTTGTTCTACCAGGACCTAGCAGAAGAGAAACAGAACCAGAGTGACACAGAATCCACAGGAGGGAGAGTGATACCTTCCGGGAAATGAGGGTATGGAGACCCTAAGAGGAGGCCAAGTTAGACAAGGAAGAAGGCCAAACATTTGGATAGCTTCTTGACTGGAATGAGACAAAATGTTTGTTGTTTTTGTTTGTTTTCCAAGAGAGGGTTTCTCTGTGTAGCCCTGGCCATCCTGGAACTCACTCTGTAGGCCAGGCTGTCCTCAAACTCAGAGAGATCTGCCTGCCTCTGCCTCCTGAGTGCTGGGATTAAAGGTGTGCAGCACCACTGCCTAGCTGAAGACAGAATGTTTTAAACCCTGCTACAATTCAAGAAGCTTTGATGGATGTCCCAAACTCCCAAAGAGACTTACCCAATCGCCGGATCCCCTCGGTGCCACTGATGGGACCAGGAGCCAGGCTGTTGACACGGATATTCTGGGGACCCCACTCCACAGCCAAGTGTCGTGTCATAGCGTCTGCATGGAAGAAATGCGCACAGGAGGGGAGATGGTCAGGCTGTGCTGCCTGCGAGGTGGCCTAAATGCCACAGGGAGCTCAGGATCGAGTCTAGCCTCTACAGTGCCCACAGCTAGGACCAAGTTCATGTGCAGATCATCAGCCTCCAGGAATCACCAAGAGGAAAATCGCTCATACCCACGGCTGCCTTGGCAGCGCCCGCATGGAGCTGTAGCACCTGGCCCCGCATACTGAGAGTGGTGGTAATGTTCACAATCACTCCTCCGTGGTCCTAAAACATGCAAGGGATGATGTTGAGTGGGTTACCACAGGAAGAAAGGCCCCTGCCAGAAGGATACCCACCCGGAAGAACTTCTCATAAACCACTCGCGACACATTGAAGGTGCCAATGGTGTCGATGTCAACCACAGTCCTAAAGGCATTGAAAGACAAGGCGCTGGCAGGGCACAGGAAGTTTCCAGCTGCACCTGGAGAAGAGAAAGGGGAAAGCTGGTGGGTGTGGCCCTGAGAAGACAGGGCGCTGGTGGGCTGAGCCCTGAGAAGACAGGGCGCTGGTGGGTGTGGCCCTGAGAAGACAGGGCGCTGGTGGGTGTGGCCCCAAGCGCTGGTGGGTGTGGCCCCAAGAAGACAGGGCGCTGGTGGGTGTGGCCCTGAGAAGACAGGACGCTAGTGGGCGAGCCCTGTCAAGAGTACAGACAGGAGCCTGTTCGTTGTGGGCAATCAGAACGTGGAGACCTTCAAAGAGGTCTAAGCTAGCCAAGACAGGGCGCAGAGCACTTGAGGAAATTCTTGGGCAACAGGCACAGGATAGAAGAGTAGATGCCAAGAAGTTAAGTTCTAAAAGCAAGTTCGGAGACAGCACTTGGGGCAGAAGCAGAAGGATCAGGCGTTCAAGGGCAACTTCAAGTCCATAGTAAATCTAACCCCAGCCTGGGCTACAGGAATTTCTGTCTCACAAAAATAGATAGACAGTAGACCGGGGGCTGTAGTAATAAGGGGCGGCGGGGCTTCGTCCACAGCACCCCAGCCGCCTGCTCGGCTAGCTTATGCCCCGAAATAATTACACGGACACTGTATTCTTTTAAACACTGCTTGGCCTTTTAGCTCTAGCACTTACAGGCTAATTCTCACATCCCGATCAACCCATCTCTAATAATCTGTGAGCATCGGTCTTACCAGGAAGATTCTAGCCTATGTCCATCCTGGGTCGGAGTGTCTGCCCGGGAGCGGGGCATGGCGTCTCTTCTGAGGCATCTACTCCCAAGAGGAGAGCTGTGGAATCTGAGCTCACTTCCTCTTCCTCCCAGCGTCCTGTTCTGCCTACTCCTCCCACCTATCTTTCAACCAATAAAATGGGCCAGGGCAGTTCCTTTATTAGCCAATGACCTTCCTCCATCAGGGGGCAGTGGTGGCGCACGACTTTAATCCCAGCACTTGGGTGACAGAAGCAGATGGATCTCTGTGAGTTTGAGGCCAGCCTGGTCGACAAGGCGAGTTCCAGAATAGCCAGAGCTAAATAGTGAAACCCTGTCTTGAAAACTAAAATAAAGCCGGGCGGTGGTGGCGCACGCCTTTAATCCCAGCACTCGGGAGGCAGAGGCAGGCGGATCTCTGTGAGTTCGAGGCCAGCCTGGTCTACAAGAGCTAGTTCCAGGACAGGAACCAAAAGCTACGGAGAAACCCTGTCTCGAAAAATCAAAAAAAAAAAAAAAAAAAAAAAAAAAAAAAAAGAAAACTAAAATAAATAAGTACAAAAAGAATTTAAAAATTAAAAAAAGATTTTTTAAAAGGTTTATTTATTTATTGTGTATATAGTATTCTGCCTGCATGCCAGAAGAAAACACAAGATCTCATTACTGATGGTTGTAAGCCACCATGTGGTTGCTGGGAATTGAACTCAGGCAGTGCTCCTAACCACTGGGCCATCTATCCAGTCCCGATTTTTGTGTGTGTGTGTGTTTGTGAATGTGACCTTATTCGAAAATAGAGTCTTTAGCTGGCATGGTGCCCTAAGGCTTTAGTCTCGGTGGCACTTTGGAGGCAGAGTCAGGGGGAATCTCTGAGTTCAAGGCTAGCCTGGTCTACAGAGTGAGTTCCAGGACAGCCAGGGCTATACAGAGAAACCCTGTCTCAGGGGGAAAAAAAAAGATTGAGCCTTAATATATGATAATAATATCAATTATTCAACAAATAATAACATTTGAGTAATAGCAGATATTGTGAAGTGATTATACAGTTATGTAGTGTTATACCTAAATTATTCTGTAAGGCTATGAAATCACCTTTTTTCTGGGTCAATGACAGTAACCAGGGCTTTTTACATGATGAGATCCATTCCCAACTCTATTACTTTGATTTAGTGTTTATTTATTTAGAGAAAGACAGGGTCTCTCTATGTAACTTTGGCTGTCCTGGAACTTACTATGTTGACCAGGCTGGCCTCAGACTAAGAGATCTGCTTACATCTCTGCCAGAGTGATCAGATTAAAGGCCTGTGCCACCATACATGGGGAGGCAGCCCCATACTTTTATAATGTTAACACTTATTTTATATATATGTATATATATATATATATACATACATACACACACACACAAAACGTGTGTGTGGGTGTGCATGTGCCACGGCATTTACGTGGGGGTCAGGGGACAGACAATCTGTGTAGTAAATTCATTCTTTATTCTTTCCACCATGTAGGTCCCAGGAATATGATTGAGGTCTAAGCTACTGAGCCAACTCACCAACCCACTTTTGTTTGTTTGTTTTGTTCGGTTTTTGTTTTTCCAAGACAGGGTTTTTCTGTGTAGCCTTGGAGCTTGTTCTGGAACTCATTCTATAGACAAGGCTGGCCTTGAACTCACAGAGATCTGCTGGGATTAAAGGCGCGTGTCACTGCCACCCGGCTACCAGCCCGTTTTTTACAGTGGAAATCTCAGTACCCAAGAACACCCCTGAACTGTGAGTTTCAGGTTCACAGGGCACCCGTGTAGATTAGGTTTACTGATCCACCATTCGGAAAGAGCAAAACTTGTCAGGCCAGAGCCTGCAACCTGAGTCTTGCCTCCGGCAACTGTGAGGCCATAGTTGAGCCAGGACAAGCACCTAGGCTCTCTGGCACACCCCTCCCCCTGGCAACAGGGTTCTGGAGGTTCCAAGCAGCACTACCGACCTCTGAGAAGCCTCTGACCTCACTTATTGCTGACTCACAGTTAATAAGGATGTCGATTTTGCCAAACTCCTTCAGTGCCTGGTCCACAGCAGTCATGACGGCTGGGGGAACTCGGACGTCCACAGACAGAGGGAGGCACCGCCTTCCAGTGGCAGCAACCAACTTTTCGGCAGCCTAGGCAGCAGAAAGCAAGAGGGTTGGCTAGCAATCTCAGCCTGGAGAAGCAGCCTTCAGACCTCCCTGCCAACCAAGCCTTGGCTTGAAAACAGCCACCTCCTGGGGCCATGACCCCTGGTGGACGTTGGTAAGACATCCTGAATTCTCTGTAACCTGTCATCTGTCCCAGATCCCACCATCTACCTACCCTGTATGCATTTCCCCTGGACCTACTGAAGAATTCTAAAACCATATTACTTCCAAAAACATGACCCAATAAGTACACTTTTGAAAAGGCAAAGGTATCTTTTTTTTTTTTTTTTCCGAGACAGGGTTTCTCTGTGGCTTTAGAGCCTGTCCTGGAACTAGCTCTTGTAGACCAGATTGGTCTCGAACAAGGCAAAGGTATCTATGAGGGTCCATTTTCACTGAGTTCCCTACACAAGAAGAAACAGATTTTGGTGGTTTTAGACCCTGGGCCTCAGAACTCTTCCCCACCCACGTTCAGAACCCCAGTCTTTCTCTCACCGTGGTCACTCTTGGCAGGCTCCTGCTGGCGATGACAGTGTGGCAGCCATGCCTGCAAAAGCAGATGGCAGCCTGAGGAGACAAGTAAGAGGGACACACCCTGGGGGGCGCCTACCAGGCAGAACTCTACAAGGAACTCCCCCCGAGAGCTTCTGAGGCCGAGGTATGAATCAAGGCTGAAACATGACTGGCAGTAGGCACAGAGACTCAGGCAGGGTTGGGTAATTCTGAAAGGACTGCTGGATACCATGGTTGTCCACTCGTAGGTTTCTGCGCTATGTCTCTGGCTTGGGGTATTCTGATCCAGATACCGTGTACATGGCAGAGAAGGTGTGGCGGGCTACTGGTGCCAATCCCAGACCTGTGCAGGGCCTGCTGGGGCATTGGCATGGAGGACAGAGAGCCCATTTTGAGAGAGGGAGCCTCATGGTGACAGTGGGGACTACCCGCTACACAGGTTCCACAAAAACTACACTAACTTATCTAATTTTCATGATCAGATAACACACAGACCTTTGTTCTGCAGAGAAGGAATTGCATAAAGCCTCAAATAACAGGCCACTACCTGGAGTCAGAATCAATTCTTGTGGGATTCACTTCAGGTTGTGGAAAGGAGAGCACTGGGGAGTGCTGGGGAAGGGCTCTTCCGCCTCCGCCTCAGCCAGCTTCAGTAGCAAGTCCCTAAGCCTCTCCTAACGCCACAGACCTGTCCCAAGAGACTCCAAAGGTGCTGTCTTCCCCCCAGGGCAGCACGGAACCACTCCCCAAAATCCATTAGGGTCCAGTCAAAGGAAAGGAAAGTGGTAGGGAGGGTCCCAGAGCAGTGTGTACCTCATGAAAATCTCAGCGATCCGGAAGCCAATCCCAGAGCCACCACCCGTGATAAAGGCCACCTTGTCCCTTCATAAAAGGAAAATGTAGTCATTTTTAAGTTACTTATTTTGTCTCTCTGAGTGTTTTGCCCATATGCCTACAGATGCTGTGGTCCTGTGTGAATGCTAGGGACCAAAACTGAGTCTTCTGAAAGAGCCGTAAGTGCTCTGAGCCACTGAGCTATCTTTCTAGTCCTTAGAATCTACTTTAAAACCAATGTTTTAGCCGGATGGAGGATGCATGTTGGTAAGTCCAGTACTTGAGAGGTGGAGGCAGGGGAACCAGGAGTTGAAGGCCAGCATGAGCTACATGAGATTCTGCCTCAATAAATAAATCACTGGCCAGGCAGTGGTGGTGCATGTGTTTAATCCCAGAACTGGAGGAGCAGGGTAGGGGGGTGGGGTGGGGTGCAGAGACAGGCAATGATCATCTTCGTGAGTTGGAGGACAGCCTGGTCTACAGAGTGAGTTTCAGGGCAGCCAGGTCTACACAGAAAAGCCTTGTCTAGAAAAACCAAAACTAAACAAATTAAGTAAATAAATAAATCAGTGTTAACAGAGGGTAAATGGGTGGCCAAAGGAGGACTTTGAGCCTATGGACATTCACCCAGTGCGGCTGTGAAAGGAATATGCTCCTGCAGAGGATGGAGTCTAACAGGTTTCGACGAAAATCCCTAGCCACAAATCTACAATCTTTAAAGTCTTTTATTCTTGGGCTAGAAGTTCGGGGCTGAAGGGGACTATTGAACCTAAAATGCCCTGTGTAGTAAGGTCTCAAGTGAGACCTTTTCAAAACGAACCGGCTTCCTCACTCAGGCCCTCATCCCATCCTTCCGGAACCCCAAGAAACTTCACGTCTATGATCGTCCAGAAGTAGGGTACCGAGCACCCGACCTCTGTGCTGTCGCATCAGCAGCAGTTCCATTCTGACCCTTGTTCCCCAACCCCGGATCGCTCCCTGGTTCCCTGCTTTAGCTCACTGGAGAAGGTCCGGGCAGAAGAGGTGGTGGTAGTCAGAAAGACAATCATCTTCCTCAACGTCGGGCGGCTGCTGGGCCATGACGCTGGGTGCCGGTTGGAGTGGCGAGGGCAGTAAAACTGGGAACCAGACCCTACCTTCCAACGCGGGCTGCGCACTGCGCTCTGCAAGCTGCTCGCTCCGCCCAGAGCCCAGAAACATCCAGGACCAGAGTCCCACCCCCGCGTCACCCCGCCCACCGGGCTCTCCCTGCAAGGAGGCCCCGCCCACAAGGAGGCATCTGGTCCCTCCACGCCTTCCTATCCCCGCCCTCCAGCTCTTCCCATTCCACCCCGCGGACACCCCACCCATGGTGGCGCGCGGCCTGCTGGGACTGTGGGAGGAGGCGCTGACGCACTGTGCTGCTCCGGCCTGTTAACCCGCCCCCCGTCCCCCCGCCCCCCCCCCCCCCCCCTGCTCGAGTCCTTTCCTAGTTGGAAGTCGGTGCGGCCGCTTAATCCAAGAACCCAGGCTCGCTAGACGCTGTCGTATCAACTGTGGAAGTCGGAACTCCTGACGTGCACCGCTCTGCCGCTTGGACACTCCCTCCCAGTGTGAGAGGATCGGGAGCCTGCAAAGCCAATAGCTCCCTCGCGAGGCTCGCCCGGGTGAAAAAAATCCCAGTGACCCTCTTGGTGGCTGGCAAGGATCCAGATTGTCGTGAAGCTGCTCAGGCCGACCGCTGCTGAGAACCCAGGACTGGGTTCCATCGTCAAGATTTCGAAAAGTGAAATGACTTGTCAGCTAGCCTCCGAAGCGGTCATGTGTATCAGCTACTTGTGTTAGCCACTTCAGGATCCGGGGTGAGATGTGACGTGCTGTATCAAGCAGCGGTCGCTGTCACAGACCACACCAGGTCTGGCGTGCAGGTTGCTCTCTAGTGCCTGGATTGCATTGAGAGAAAGATGAGAGTAGCCGCTGAAGTATAAGCCTCTGCTGTTCCGTCCACAGGAGACCTGACACAATACCCACAAGTACAGGCACCCCTACCCACAGGCTCCGTGCCTTGAAGAGGCCTTAGGCCCCACCTATCCCTTGCCACCACCGCCTCTCAGAAGAATCACACCATACAGGCAGAAGCTGCAACAACGCCAGCCAAGGAACTCCGTTTGGATTCTTGATCTCCTGGCCTCACACTCTTGCCTGGCTCATATAGTTACCAAAGTTAAGGGCTCCTTCTCATGGGAGAGTAAAACTATAACCTTCAAACCTACTGTTTACACCATGTATTAAAAAGAAAGCACTCATTAGGGTGCTGGAATAAAGCAGTTTTCTCCAGCTATGACTACTGGGCATCATGGAGCAGGCATTGCTGGGCCCTGCAGTCATATCAGTAAAATAAGGAGAATACAGTGGTAGCTAGGAATGGGGTAGTGGACCCTTGCCTTAGATTCCCCACTCAGTACTCCTTCCTACTCTCGGCGGGGGTCTTGGGACAGGTTTGCTAGAGTATTTAAGAGGTAGGTTAACTGAAAGCAAGATTCTATCATGCAGTTTCCTTGATGTCATTACCCCTGTAGGGTGGGACTTTGTAGTGGTTCAGCTGTTCTCAAGTCATGCATGCTTCTGCAGCTAACCCCTCACCATCATCCATGTCTCTGTCAGTGCAGGAAACTCACAGGTTCTCCAAGGCAGGAATGGATGGAGTTGTTACTCTTTCTTCACATCTCCCCATGCAAGGGCACACAATGCTGGGACAGCAGAAATAAGCATACCATTCCCATTTAAAGCAGAAGATTTTAATGTCTCTCCTCTGGGGAAGGCAAAATCACCTCTGACAATGTCCAAAAGGTTGTCTGGCACTTAGGTATAGAAGGATATGATCCACTATTGTGCTGGCTTAGGATACAAGGCACATAAAGTTGAGGCTTGGACTCCCCTGGGCTGGAGCTGGACAAAAGGTGGACAGGGTGTGGTTTTGAAGATGGGAAGGATATGGGCTTGGGTTCTTGTTGGCAGAGGTAGTTGGTCATGGATGAACCCTGAAGAACAGTGGGCAGTTCAAACCCTCAGGCTGGGCTGCAGCTGCTGTGGTGACCGCCGTCTGCCCAGTTCAACAGTTCACTGCTCTGAAACCACAGCTGGATCTCCCTCTGGGCACCCTCCACAGAATCGCTAGCATGAATGACATTCCTGTGGGAGGAGGAAAAGCATGCCTATGCTTCAGTGAGAGGGGTCCCAGGGACAATTCACCTCCAGCCTCCTGCCCTGTCAGGGAACAAGGTGACCGTACAGAAGAGAAAGGAATGGGCTATGGTGTCATGGTCTGTAATACCAGCATTGGAGGAGCTGAGACAGGAGGACAGTCCCGAGTTCTAGGCCAGGCTGTTTACAGAGGGAGACCGCGTCTCAGAAAGGAAAAGAGGGGGCTGGAGCGGTGGCTCAGCAGTGAAGAGTGCATTCTCTTGCAGAGAACCTGAGCTTGGTTCCCAGTACCCAAATAGGGCAGCTTCAAACTACCCATAACTCCAGCTCCAGGGCATCTTAAGACACCCTCTTCTGGCTTACACAGGCACTGCAGACACATGCACAGACATTCATACACACACACACACAAAGAAGGAAGATGAGAGATGCAGCTCAGTTGACAGAGGGCTTGTCTAGCATGCAGAAAGCCCTGATTTTGATCCCCAGCTCCACATAAACCAGGCATGGCAGTGCATGTCTGTACTTGGGAGGTAGAGGCAGGAAGATTACAAGTTCATGGTCATCGTCAGCAAGAGGATCAGTTTGAGACCAGCCTGGATTACATGATATCCTATTTGAAAAGAAAAAAGAGGGAAAAGGAGGAAGGAAAAGTGGGTGGGCAGTAACAGGAGCTGGAAATTTATATCTAGCGTGGCTTTGGTTTCTTGCAAGCTCAGAAGCCAGGCTATACACCAGCTTCCGAGAGTTGCCTTTTCCTACCGGTCATCAGAGCCAACCCCTTATGGTTGTTGACCAAAACAGAATACTAAACACCCAGTAAACACCCTGTGTGATTGTAGATGCCTTTAATCCCAGCACTCAGAAGGCAGAGGCAGGTGGATATCTGTGAGGCCAGCCTAATCTACAAAGTGAGTTTCAGGCAGCCAGGGCTACACAGAGAAACCCTGTCTGGAAAGAAAAAAAGAGTTAGGGAAAAAGGTTTAATCAGACAAGGCAGCATACTGTAAGTTAACACTCAGGTTGGTAGAGGCCTGAAGATAAAGAGTTCAAGACACCTGAACTACTTAATAACCTCAAAGCTAGCTTGGCCTACCTGACAATTTATCATAAATAAATAAATAAATAAATCTTATAGTAAACACCCAACTATCAAAAACTTTCAGCCCAGCAAGACACCCATTTCTCAAGAATCTGTCTTCCTTTGCTCCCCTTCCCCCCCCCCAAAAAAAACCCCAAGGTTTCTCTTGTGTAGCCCTGGCTGTCCTGGAATTCACGCTGTATACCAGGCTGGTCTTGCACTCAGAGATCCACCTGCCTCTGCCTCCTGAGTACTGCATGCCCCCCCAGCTTCATGGCTCTGTCTTAAGTGCCAGCTGCCATCCTAAACTAGCCTTCTTTACCCTATATGGAGAGACAAGGCTGATGGGGCCTCCATACCTGCTGATGTGAACACTGAAGTCTCCCCTGATCGTCCCTGGGGCTGCCTCGGTTGAGTCAGTGTGTCCTATCATGGTCCTTGAGATGTGGACCACATTGTGCCCTTCCCAGACCTGCAACACAGACATATGGGTTGGAGAGAAGTTGGAGAGCCCCAAATGGGCTCAATCCAAGCCCTTTCTTTTGCTTAGGGGAAGACACCCCCCCACACACACACCCATTCCATTGCCCCTGCCCTGCTGTACCATGGCCACCACAGGCCCAGAGCTCATGTAACTGATAAGGGCTGGGTAGAATGGCTTCCTCTGCAGGTCCCGGTAATGCTCAGCAAGGATGCTTTCTGGTGCCTGTGTGGAAAGAGGGGTAAGATGAACCCTTGGAGAGTAAAGTCCCAGTTAGTGTCCTGAGTTTGGGGCACCTTTCAGACACAGCTACGGAAGTTAGCTCCCAGAATGGTTAAGCCGGGCGATGGTGGCGCATGCCTTTAATCCCAGCACTCGGAAGGCAGAGGCAGGCGGATCTCTGTGAGTTTGAGACCAGCCTGGTTTACAGAGCTAGTTCCAGGACAGGCTCCAAAGCCACAGAGAAACCCTGTCTTGAAATACCGAAAAAAAAAAAAAAAAAAAAAAAGAATGGTTAACTCCCAACCCTTGCAAGTGCCAGTGCTAGGAGACCCTAGTGACAACACCGGCCAAGGGCTGGTACCTGCAACATCTTCATCCCCACCAGCTTGAAGCCCCGCCTCTCAAAGCGATGTATCACAGTCCCCACGAGCCTCCGCTGCACCCCATCTGGCTTCACCGCAACCAGGGTACGCTCCTGGGGCCAGGAAGGCCCTCCTGTAAAAAGAAAGAAAAAGTCAGGGGTGAAGAGACTCCACATTTTCAGTTCTGTCCCACCTAGATCCCCAACAGAGCTCAGACAGCACAGGACTGGAAAGTGCCTGCCACCAAGTAGGAAGGTCTGGATGAACAAAAACGACCGGGAGCTGCCCTGGTAGTAGCAGAAGCTGCCCAGGGTGGAGACGATTTCCCCCAATAGGCTCAGATAACTTCAGGAGCAACCAGGCCTGTTAATGATGACTCCGGGGTGCCACACTGTGTGAACCCCAGGCCTGTACGCTAGGAGCTCACCCTTTGGGTATGGAGAAATAGCATGAAACCAAGGATAGTTAGTGGACCACTTCCAGGTGGCCTGAGCGCTGCGGACCAAGGAATGGGAATTGAGGACTTTGATGGGGAGTAAATCACATTGCAGGAGAGGAACTCAGCTGCCAGGGAATTCAGGTTGCCTCTCAAGAGAACACTGTTCTGATTCTGTGACCCCCATGCCACTGCCAGGACATTGAGTGTCTCCTCCAAGATGAAATGATACTTTGTTTTGTTTTTTGTTTTTGAGACAAGGTTTCTCTGGGTGAACTGTAACTCACTCTGTAAATCAAGCTGGCCTCGGACTCAGAGATCCATCTGCCTCTGCCTCCTGAGTGCTGCGATTAAGGGCTTAAATTCTACTTTTGAGAGGGTCCTAGTCCCTAGTAGTCTCACAAAGTGTACCAAAGAAAGAGGAAACATCAAGTTAAGTTAGAAAGGCCACAATGGGTGTCCACTACAACTCAACAGGCTGAATTATACCCGTTTGTTCTCCTACCAGAGATAACGGGGGACCCTGCGAGATGACAGGGGACCCTGGGTAGCCCAGAGCTCTGCTGCCATGTATCTTGATGAGACTGTTCAATTCCCAGGGTGCATTATCTGGCTCTCAGAAAGCACCCCATAAATG